GGGGGTGGGGCCGGGTAGGGGGCGGGGCCGGCAGACCTGAGGCACCCACTGGAGCCTGGGGGGTGCGTGGGGCATGCTCCTCTCCTGCCTTTTCTTCTTTGAACTGTGAGGCCAGAAATGCACCCTGGTCTGGAGCAGCATTTTGGAAAGCACAAGCTGGTGGCCAGGCCGTGGCAGTGTCACAGCAATGTGGGGGTGATACCAGGACCTCAAAGGTGGTTTTCCCTGGCAGGGGAGATCCCTTGATGATGGTTTTAGCCCAGGTGCTATTACTGACTTGGCAGGGGGATCCCCTTCTTCATGGCCTTGGGTGGCTTGGTGTAGTTGAGGGTGGAGACCTGCTCCATGGCACGGCGGGGAGGTCCACCTGCCAGCGTGTACTAAAGCCTCCCGGTAGGCGGATCTGGGCTACACAACTTAGAACCATGGGGAGTTGCTTTTTGGCTTTCCCCCTAACTTGTTCCTTCTCCCTTTTGGCTAGGGCAAGCAAAACTAGGAGGCATCTGAACTGCAAGGCCTCCATGCTTTGGGCTTGCATGTCGGATGCCTGCCATGGATTTGGGAGTATCTGAAGCCCCGGACAGATGTGTCTGGGAAAAAGGATACTTGTCAGTGGTAGCGCCACGCAGACTTGAACCTTTGAGCTCAGCTCAGTCAATAAAATTTGGAACAGATTTGGCCCAAGACATAAAAATTAAAAAAAAAAAAAAAAAAAGCGTTGGAAGAATCTGGTAGGTGAAAGCTGGCTTCACGGGGTCTGTGCTGCCCTTCATCCAGAAGCACCCCATTCTGAAAAGGAGAAGCGTGGGGGAGTTGAAAAACCCGCCCCGCTGCCCTCACATGGTCTCAGCTGTGCAAAGACACCAGCTGGTACCTGCAGCTATTTGCCCCCTCCCCCTGCACATTACCAAGTGTAACAAGAAGACAAGAGCATGCTCTTCTCACACAATACCTGCAGGCGTTGGTGCATCAAGATTCAGTAACATTGAAGTTTAGCAGATCCAGCTAATCTGCTGCCAAGTTTCACCAATTATGCTTAAAATATATATGAGGTCTGAGCCCAGGACAAGGTGGGGAAGGAATGTGTTCTGTGTGTTCTGATGTCCGATGGCATTGGTTCCAGCCTTATTCCCTATATAATGGGAATGCCATTAGAACAGTGCTTCTCAACCTTTGTGGACTGGAAGCTCCCTCCAAAACTTTCGTGAAATGAGTGGCACTAATCTTAAAAACTTATTTAGGTATTATGATGCTTATCTGAGGGGCCAGGCATTGGGGAGGCGGGGGGAGGGTCCAGGCAGGGATAAGCCTGAGCCTGCACTTACCTGCTTATCTCCTCATACCTCAGGACACCCTTAAAAAGAATCTGGCAGTACCCTAGGGTGCTGAGGTACTCTAGAGGTTCTGCAGTAGAACCACTCATATTCCTAAACCTAAAATTATATTAAGAGCACCTACATGGTTGCAACCAAAAACATCATGTTGCTTAAAGTAAATGCAGTTCTGTAAACAAAGACTCCATGAATTGTTTACTCATCATATGATTTGAATATTCAGCGTCACAATCCAGATGGACTTTCCCAGTTTCAGTTTTGGGATGCATGTGTGTGGTAGCCATGGGTGGATCTAGGATTTTAAAAAGGAGGGTACAGATAGTGTGGTGCCTCATTACATATAACATGGCACACATTTTTCTCCAGTTAAAGAGAAATTAGAAACTTTACTAATCTGCTAGGGGCCTAGCATGACATTATTCAGTTTAAGATCAAAGTAAAAATGAATGTAACTTTATTGGAAAGTGCACTAATTTGCTAGATTATAGATTAGTTTAAAAAACACAAGAAACTAGGCAAAAAAACTGGTCACAATAGTACAAAAATTGTTTTGTTAGCCCTGCAATCATTATAGTTAAATGTATATCTCTTATTCAAATTTCTATAACAAAATCTAATTTTCTTCAGTGTCTTGAAAGTGCCTCCAATACTTTGCCATCATTCATTTTTACACCTGAGTTAATATTACTATACCTGATGTAAGGTTTTTAACTAGGGTTAAAAACAATATTACTCTACCTCAGTTAAGGTTTTTAACTAGGGTTAAAAACAGTTTGCAGGGCTGTGAGATAAGAGAGACTTTATCAGGCATGGCTAAGGAATAGCATCACTGCAGAAGAAAGGATAATTTGGATAGTGGAATATCAAGGCAATTAGAAAGAAGAGAGGGTTGTTAACCCCAATGAAATTAGGTGATATTAGGAGACATTAGCAAGAAACAGGTAAATTATAATGAGCCATGAACTCAAATGCATTCAGCCATGAACAAAAGTGCCACTGCCCCTTGGCTTTAAAGTTTGAGTAGAAGAGAAGTCAAAGGAAGATGCAACTATGCCAATGCACT